CTTGAACTTCCAGGTGACTTTATACTGCATAGCAAATATCGGCCAATATGTGAGTTATCTCAATGAAAATTAGAGTGCGTATTTTGCTAGTAACAGTGTAACTTTGTGCCTTATATGGATAAAATTAGGTAAAAACTTGACCTAACCCCCATATAACTAATGTAAGGATTTTTGATCATCCGGCTGACTTTACTCCATATGATTGGTGATGGTATATGAGATAACTTAATGAAACCCTGAGAGCATTTCATTAGTTTGTGGCATGTTAATAGTATGTGGTATTGGCAAAAATTGCTAAAATCGGTCCAATACTACCCCCAACTCCCATATACTATATACACATTTTCTCTATTCTAACAAGTTTTATATCGAATATGTCGGTCAGTGAGTATTATTTATATATAAAATTGCTTCAAAATATGTTCTCGAGTATACCTGAGTAATGTCAAAAGTAGTGCAACCCACCCTACCGCCAATATCCTCCGTAAAATGATTTCCGTCTTTCAACCTGTCTTTTAACATTTAGGTTGGTCAAAATGTGTGATATTTTAGTGAAATTAAGTTACATATCTCATTTGAAAGTGTATTTAATATAATTTAAGCTGACGCGAACTAAAATACAAATATAACAATAAAACGAAGTCTAAGTTTATGACCTTCAATATAAGTCAAGAAGATACGAAATTTGATTATAATTTATTCACGATTTCATCGAATAATCGATCTTAATTATTTCGCAACATTTTTTAATATAAAGTTTTGCCAGCAAGGAAGGAATTTCCCGGGCTTTGATTCTTGCAAGTTGCAAGAGTATAAAATGTTCGGTTACACCCGAACTTAGCCTTCCCTACCTTTATTTGGTTGGTTACTATTGATTTGGTTGGGGATTAAAACCCAAATATATATTTTTTTTATTTTTAGAAGACGGAAGTGATCGCAAACGGCGTAAAAGATCAAGGTGGGGAGGCACCGAAAATGACAAGACATTTATACCTGGTATGCCAACAATCTTGCCTCCAACTCTGGACTCTGCACAACAAGAGGCATATTTAGGTAACGTTTAAATACATGTTTTTTTGTATATATATTTATTTAAATTAAGCAAATTTTGACACTATATGAATAGTTCTAGCTTTAAGAATGAAATTAGACTAAATAATCATAGTGATAAACAGCAAAATTTCATCGATCTCCATGTAAACGTATTCTAATTGCGCCTAGGCAGATAAGCGTCGAGATAGCAGTCAACGGCAGCCGAGAATCAATTTTTAAATTATCTATTCTTTTATTCAGCCCTTTATTAACATATCGTTTACTTTAAAGGAAACTACAAAAGAATTCATATCCGTATACGGCCATCGTGTTTGGGTTTAGTTGGAATATATACTTTAAGTAAATACTTTTCTTAAGCAGATGTTGTTATGCTAATCAGTTTTTTGACAAATTTTAAGGTTTAACAGCCAACTCCCGTCCGTATGCACAGGATGCACTGATCATATCAAACATACCATTACGAGAAGCGATAAATTGCTATCTTAACTTAACACACGTGGGAATTTGAAGTAGTATCTTTATAGTAAATTAAAACTTGTAATTTGTGCTCTAATAACATTGTTGAATTCACGAATAATTATAAAATTTTATTAGTTTTACCATGAAATATGTAAGTATTCCTAAAGGAAAAAACTACGCTTGTGTCCTGAGAGGCAGTAGGCAATTTTTGCGGTAGCTGACTAATGGCCAAATATTTCCAAAATCATATGAAACATCGCAGCAATCCGCAATCCGCTATACACAGTTTTATACAAAAATCTAATAATTAATTTATCCATATTTTGTTTTTATATACAGTTATTGAAATATCCAAATAAATCATTGTAACGTTTACTAATGTTGAGGCATGCCTCAATTCTCTTTCTTTTTTTAATCCATTTTAATTGCAGTTCAACTAGAAATCGAAGAAATCAGCCGCAAATTGCGCACCGGAGATCTGGGAATACCGCAGAATCCAGAAGAAAGGTTTGAATTGCTTTGTACACAATCACTCACAGTTGCTTTCTTATACATCTGCAGCCTAGCAGGAGGCATCAACTTCGCGCCTGTACTTCGCGCTACGACATCTGTGGTGACCACACTCAATGAATGAAAAATAATCAGGTTTAAGTAATGCTTTATTAACATAAAGCATTCCGAACGTTGAATAATGTTATGTGTTAATTTCAACTAGGGGTTCGGGCATATTTTTGCAATCTTCCGAAAGAAATTTTTTCATAAAAGATAGATTTACATAAATATTTCTTAATTCAAATATTTTTGAACAATGTATAAATTTTAGAAGAATATTTTAATATTTTTGTAACTTAAATTACTCGTAAACAGTCTTCGTCCTTAAAGTCAGGTTATATTTACTACAATATACATTTATTTGCCATTATTAATGTCAATGGAGGCAAAATTGGTAGGTAAATGTATTCTTTACACTCGTCAGAATTAAGTTTTCTGTAAGATTTGTGATTTAATTATGGATGGGTATTAATGCTAAGGCATTGATAATAGTTTTTATTTTCCTTTAAAATTTACTTAAACAGATTCCCACTAATAAAAGACTAATTTTCTTTTTCATGGCTATGAGCAGATAAGACAGTAAAGCCAAAATATTAAATTCCAACGAGGCTCATGAACGATTATTCAATCACGATTTCAGAATTAAATTGGGGTGAAATATGGCGCTGTGCATCGGTCAAAGTTAATAATTAAGATACGCTATTAATTAAAATTTTTCTCTTTTACCCCCAGCAAGAGTGAAAAGTATCCAGACGGTTCTTTATTTCAATAATGCAAAATTAATTTCCAGAATATGTTTAGGAACTTAGGTTAAGTTATATATATAAATACGATAATAATACAGCCTTTAATTATTATTTTTCAACAACATGAAAACTTCATACGTATTAATTGTGCGCCTTCAACTATTCTACAAAAACTGAAATTAAAAAGGAACCAATTTTATTTGTATCTTTCACAGGTCACCATCACCTGAACCCATTTATAGTTCCGATGGCAAACGGTTGAACACACGGGAGTTTCGTTTCCGCAAGCGTTTAGAAGAACGTCGTCATCAATTGATACAGAAAATGCAAAGCGTTAATCCAGAGTTCAAACCTCCAGCAGATTACAAGTAACATACAAAATAAATATTTTTTTTTTGTATTTTGTAGTATTAAATTTTTTCCATAGGCCGCCTGTAACACGCGTTAGCGACAAGGTCTTAATACCACAAGAACAACACCCAGACATAAATTTTGTTGGTTTGTTGATTGGTCCACGTGGAAATACTTTAAAAGCTATGGAGAAGGAAACGGGAGCTAAAATCATAATCCGAGGCAAAGGTTCCGTAAAAGAAGGGAAAGTAGGTCGAAAGGATGGCCAACCCTTACCAGGTGAAGATGAGCCTTTGCATGCATTCATTACTGCACCTAATCCAGAGGCTGTGAAAAAAGCTGTTGATAAGATTAAGGATGTTATTCGTCAAGGCATTGAGGTTCCGGAAGGTCATAATGATTTGCGACGTATGCAACTCAGAGAATTGGCACAATTGAATGGTACTTTGCGCGAAACTGATTGTCCACGTTGCACAAATTGTGGTTCAAGCGAGCATAAGTCATGGTTGTGTCCCGACAAACCCAATGTGACAAACAGTATCGTTTGCACTTCATGTGGTGGAGCAGGTCATATATCGAAGGACTGTCGTAGCAAACGACCCGGGGCCGCTGGGGAAGCAACTACAGAGGACTCACAAGCGAAAATTGACGAAGAGTACATGAGTTTAATGGCTGAACTAGGTGAAGGACCATCACCAAATGCACAGAAAGCAAGTGTCGATCCATTAGCGCAAGTGCACTTAAATCGCGGTTATAGTCTATTTGATAAGAAGCCAGCGCAAACATTGGCAATTCAAGCGCCACCACCCACAATTGCCCAACCGGCCCAATCAACCGCGCCGGTAATTCCGACTGGGCCACCGCCACCGCCTATTCCTCCAGCGTGGGGAGGTGCAGCTGGTCCAATGCCTCCATTAATTCCGCCGCCATGGATTAGTGCACCACCACCACCACCTGGTAATGAATCGTTACCACCACCACCAATACCAGGCGCATCATTACCACCACCACCGCCTGGTACCGGTCCAATGCCACCACTGCTTCCTCCGCCTCCCGGTACCCAAGCACCTCTGCCTCCATGGACACCACCAACTCCGGGAGGTATGATGCCACCAGGGTTCGGTGGTTGGGGTGCTAGTTTCATGCCAGCTCCACCATGTGTACCACCACCACCTCCTTGTGCCCCACCTCCGCCTGGAATACCTGCTCTCAATCAACCACCTCCACCACCGCCACCATCCAATTGAATTTGATTTATACAATAAGGGATAGCAAAGTTAAAACTAGTTTCAAATCGTGTTAATTGCTTCATACGTTTATATTTCCCCAAGTACTGGAGCACTTAAAAGAATGCTATGATAGTTTAAGTTCGCTTTGAAAATTAAATACTTTGCAAACTGTTCCGTAATCCCTGAAATTATAATTATAAATATATAATAGTTTTTAAATACAAATTGGTAGTTTTCAAGTTAATTTTATTCACTCAATAAAGCTATACACAACTAGTTGTCCAGGACTCTTCATATATATTTACTTTAATTATAAATTGCAGTACTGAATTTTAATGGATAAAAAGAAGAAAATATAGAGAAAAAGTGCTTCCTTATCCGTGCTTTTTGAAATAATCCTTTGAATCAGCTACGTCTGGCTTGATTGTGTCTGGATTCTTATCTGGGTGCCAATTTGCTGGACAGACCTCTCCGTGTTCATCCACAAATTGGAATGCCTTTATGAGGCGTAGTACTTCGTCCACTGAACGGCCGACCGGTAAATCATTAATAGAGTATTGACGTACGATACCATTGGGATCAATAATAAAGGTGCCACGCAAAGAAATACCTTCATTATCTAATAGAACGTCGTAATCACTAGAAATTTTTTTGGTTAAATCAGAAAGAAGAGGGTAACTTAGGCCGCCAAGCCCTCCATCTTTACGATCCGAGTTGCACCAAACCAAATGACTGAAATGTGAGTCTACAGATACTCCAACTACTTCAGCGTTTAATTTTTTGAATTCTTCGATGCGTTCGCTAAATGCAATAATTTCAGTAGGGCAAACGAAAGTACTAAAAAAAAACATAATTAATGAGAGACAAAAATTCAACAAAGAGCTTACAAGTCCAAGGGGTAAAAAAATAAAACTAAGTATTTTCCTCTGAAATCTGCAAGCTTTATTTCTTGAAAGTCATTGCCCACAACGGCCAAACCTTTAAAGTCAGGCGCGGCGCGTTGCACTTTGACGGCCAGAAGTGGAGCAGCTGGGACAGAGATACAAATGTTATAGAATTAGTTGTTAAGTTATAAATATAATATATTTGGTAAATGTATAGTTTAGGTCCACAACTAAGGAGGCCTCAAAAATGAAATTTTATCATATGTATTTTCTATTAGAATACTTTTTGGAAATCTTACTTTGATTTAAAAGCCGGCTAACAGCTATTTGCTGACTACTCGCCTTGTGGCATAAAGTTGGTACCTAAACACCGCAGAAAAACAAGAAAAACATGACAAGATAATTGCAATTACGTAATTAATTATATTAAGTATATTTTTTTTTGCCTCATTTTAAAGGACTTACTTTTCGGAACAGCGCCCTTGCAAAGAACGACATTGTACTGATATCTGCTAAGTTCTTTTTATCGCAATTATTTGTTAGATATCGTCAATACAAAACTATTCCCGTACTCATTAATAATTATTCGAGATTATGCCGGCGTATTTTAAACGAAAGCTTAAAAAGAACCAACAGCTGACAATTTAGCTGTCCCCACTAGCAATGTTGTTGCAATTTAAAGTTTTTCCCTCTGATTCTGGCCCATTCTCGAATTTCTTCGCTTTGATTGGCAATCATACTTTAACAACAAAGCGAAGTTAGCAAAGGGTATGCCAGAATGAACACTTTGTTTTCCGTGCTTCTTTTTAATAAAACTGGCCACTGTTGCTTGGCAAAGCGTAAAAAGATGAGAGTTCTCAACATTTTGCTTTGCCCCATTGTGAACGAACTCATACAAAAGCTAATATCGAACTTTTCTGTCAAAGCAAATGTCTGAAGCAAAAGTTGTACTCAGCTACTACAAATTTTCAACGACTAAAACGGCCAAATGCCTTCAAAAAGGTTCACATCTGGTATAATGTGTTGCCATGTTATGCTATAAAATTTATAACTTTAAGTATGTAAATAACTTCCTCTGCGAATGGCAGGCACCTTGCCGTGGTGCAGGGGCTTAGGTCGTAAGGTATTCTCGGCATCTCCCAACCAATGTGAGAAGTGCTGCCTAGCACCTCTCACGCGGGTTGTCAGAAGCCGCATGCGGGCGATAACCAAGAGCTGCCACCTTCTAATCCAGGGTGTTATGCGACTCCCGTGCCTATTGGATGATTTGCAGCCAGGAGGTAAATTCGGCTGTATTCAGGCTTGTACGGAGACTTCCTAATACCGGGCCGCATAGGGAAGTAACGGTGGCCTTACCGCGTCATGGAGCTCTTGCGCGGTGGACTTTTGCGTTCCCTTTATAAAACGTTGACCGGACGGCTCGGCATGTCGCGCCTACGGTCGTAAGAACAAGATGGAAACAATTAAACAAAAAACAAAAACCACAACAACGGACACAAAAAGGCAACAACAACAGCAAACGGACATGGACAAGGCCATCAAAACCAGCGCCGGTGCAGGTAAGGGAGTTTCAGCGGCTAAACAAAAGTTTAAGAGCGGGCGCTGTTAGTGGTGCATGCAAGGGATGACGACGACGACATGCCCTCGTGCAGCGGCGCTCAGCAGGTGAAATTGAGTGCGGCTGCCGCGGAAAAAGCGAACCCCAAAGAAGCTCCCCCGAGCAGGATCACCTGCTTGGACTCGAGCGACTCGAAACGGGCATCTACCGAGGGGGTTCGCAAACGGAAGCGGAAGAGGGGAGGCAGACTACCCCCTCTACCACCAAATGGGAGTCCAGGCGGACAGGACGATCCTAGGAGGAGAGGCATAAGCGGTGGCAGCCTCAAATGGTATCTCAGGCACCTCCAGGAGGGGAAGACTCCGGAGGAAGCCGAAAAGTTGGCGCGTAACAGGGCGAGGACACAATGCCTCCCCTACCTCGGAGAAGCGGAATGGTGGCAATACGCAGCAGCGGAATCGGTGGTCCTGAGGCAATTTAAGCCGAAGACGGCCACCGAAAATGAAGCGGTAGAGAAGATGCTGGTAGATGAGGTTGCGACTCATCCCGGCACCAGCACGGCGGAGCAGGCGGCAACTGCTGGAACCACGGTGAAGGTCCCTACGGAGAAGGCTGGCGATCAAGGGGGGCCGCTACCCTCCACGCAAGAGCTTCTCGAGGGACTCAGGGACCTAGCGGGTAGTAACGCGGAGGACGACGAAGATGAAGAGGTCCTCATGGAATCGATCCTCTAGTGGGTCCACAAATTGAAATTGCCCAGGTGAAGCTGCATCACGCGGCGTCGGCCTCGGCCGTCATTGCGAGCAGGTTCACAGCGGATGGCCTGGGCATTCTACTGATCCAGGAGCCATGGATCTACAAAGGAGAGACCCAGAACCTGTATACTAATTAGGAACGATATTGATTACTTTTGTATTTCAGAGTTCCTAACACAAGACCTGGTCGCTGTGCAGGTAAAATGTAACAAAGGAGCGGACTTCGTCCTGGCAGCGGCCTACTTTCCGGGAGACACGCCGACAGCACCCCCAGAGGTCGTCGGGATCCTCGTGGATGACTGCAGAAGGACCAACCTGCCCCTCGTCATGGGATGCGACGCCAACGCCCATCACACTGAATGGGGCAGCACGGACTGCAATACACGGGGTGAGTCTTTACTTGAATTTATAGTAAGTAGGAACTTAAGCATTTATAACTAGTGTAAGAAGGGAGGTGCTTGACATCACTCTTGGTAACGAACTCATGACAGGGCTGATCGGGCAATGGAGAGTGTCATCGGAACCCTCCATGTCGGATCACCGCATCATAAGATTCGCACTAGGGGTAGAGGTTAAGCAACTCCCTCCCAGGCGTATCCCCAAAAACGCGGACTGGGCCACCTTTAGGGATACGCTTGAAATAAATCTTAATAGGAGGGGGCAGCTGGATAGCAGTGCCACTGCTTCTGGACTGGAGAGCAGATTGTCTGCGCAGAGGAAAGAGCCACGGCCCTTCTACGTGCGCATTTCCCGGAAACACTTCGAGAAGACCTAATTCGACCCAGAGTCGAACGAAAGCCAACTCGCTTAGATTGGACAGCCGCAAAACAGCTCTTCACTGCGGACTCCATTAAGTGGGCTGTGGCCTCCTTCGAAAAATATAAGTCTCCGGGTGCGGATGACATCCTTCCAGCTTTTATGCAACAGGGGGGGCAGGTCCTACTACCCCACCTTGTTCGGCTGATGATGGATAGCCTGGCGCTGGCGTATATCCCAGAACCTTGGCGCATTGCAAAGGTGATCTTCATACCCAAGGTAGGAAGGAAAGACTATTCGTTGGCAAACTCGTTCAGACCAATAAGTCTAACTTCCTTCCTACTGAAAAGCATGGAAAAGATCATAGACCACAAAATAAGATCGAAGGTGCTGAAAGCTGCACCGCTACACGCGACGCAGCATGCTTACAGGGCAGGCCGATCAACTAATACTGCTCTGTATCAGCTGACCTCAGAGATCCGAAGTTCGTTAGACGGGGGTGAGTTGCTGTTATGCGCCTTCCTTGACATCGAAGGTGCTTTTGACAATACGTCACACGAGAGCGTGTCAAAAGCACTAGAGAAAAGGGGTGTGGCGATGCCGGTGCGCAGATGGATTGAAGCAGTACTGTGCACCAGGATTGCCGAAACCACAGTAGGCGACACTAAGATTCGTCTTGGCATAACAAGAGGCTGTCCATAGGGTGGAGTGCTATCCCCCCAACTCTGGAGCCTAGTTGTGGACGATCTTCTCGAGCTGCTAACTAGCAACGGAATCCGCTGTCAGGGATATGCGGACGATATTGTTATATTAGCTAGGGGTAAATTCCCAGACACTCTCTGCGATATTGTACAAAGGAAATTAAGGCTGGCAAAGGAATGGTGTAATGGGGTTGGCCTAAACATCAACCGCTCCTAAACTACGATCATACCGTTTACCAGACGCAGGTTGCTGCCAGGCCTCAAAAACCTATCCCTAGGTGGAACGGAACTGGAGATGCCCAGCACGGTAAAGTACCTGGGCCTCACGCTGGACTCCACTCTACGGTGGAAGCAGCATATTGACCTAACTGTAGCCAAAGCTACGAAAGCGCTCATGGTGTGCAATCGACTTGCTGGGAAATCATGGGACTGCAACCCAAGGATTATCAGATGGTTGTACACCATGGTTGTGAGACCGATCATAACATATGGAGCGGTGGCCTGGGGTTCCAAAGCATCGCAGACCTCGGTAGGACTTCGACTATCGAGGCTGCAACGACTTGGCTGTATCTGCGCGTCGGGCGCGATGCGTACGTGTCCGACTGCAGCACTGGAAGTAATGCTGGAGCTAACACCATTACATATAGTGATCGAGCAGACGGCCAAACAGACCTTGCTTCATATGTCAGCAGAAGGGTTTGGCAAAGGGAAGGTAATCTCGTCCCAGCAGATGAAGGCCCTAAGTGACGCAATGCCACTGGCCCTTCTTCCAAGGGATAGCATTATCAAAACAGTAAGCTTCACTAGGAAGTTCAGGGTTACCCTTGGCAGTAAGGCAGAATGGAACGATTCCACGCTGGACCTACTACTAAGGAACAGTACCATTAAGTGGCACACTGACGGCTCGAAAACGGAGGAGGGGATTGGCGCAGGGGTCGCAGGACCACGCACCAAGCGCTCCATTTCCATGGAAAGTTTTCCTAGCATATTCCAGGCGGAGGTATATGCTATAAGTCGGTGTGTAGAAATAAACCTCCAACGCGACTACCGCAATAAGAGTATCGCCATACTCAGCGATAGTCAGGCAGCACTTAAAGCGATCTCGGCTTTTGAGGTCAAATCGCTACTAGTGCAGGAGTGTATAGAACGACTGAACAGCCTATCAAGTCTCAACAGAGTGTACCTCATCTGGGTGCCTGGTTACAGGGGTATAGCAGGAAATGAACTTGCTGACGAGTTGGCCCGCTCTGCAGCCTCTACAAACATGGTAGGACCAGAACCGTGTGTAGCGGTTGGTCCACATACCATTAAGGAGCTGCTCCGTAAAGAGGAAAGAGCAGGCAGGAAGAGACACTGGCAACATCTCCAAGGCATGCGCCATGCCAAGTTGCTAATGGGGGGTTATAACCTCAGACGGTTTAAAACCGTAATCAATCTCCCGAGGAACAAATTCCGAGTTCTGGTCGCGTTCTACACCGGACATTGCAGGCTTAACAAGCACTAATTTGACATGGGCTTGGTCTCCTCTGCAAACTGCCGGTTCTGCGAAATGGAGTCGGAAACCCCAGAACACCTACTAATGGACTGCACAGCAGTCTGCAGACGTAGAGGCAAGGCCCTGGGATCATATCGCCTCATTGGCACCTAACAGTATATTGGAGTTCATCAATATGCTAGGGCTAGATGAGTCGCTGTGACTTAGGGGAGGGCACAATAGACCATAGGTCGCGGTGCATACCTCAATCATTATCTATCTATCTATCTATGTAAATAACTTGAATAGTAAATAAATTTTCATATATTGATTATTATAATTTACAAAAGTTAAATTACTGTTGTCATACTCAAAATCTTATTTACATTGAAAAATCATTAATTTTTTCCAATTTAATCAAATATTTTTATAAAATATTTTTGTACCAACTTGTAAAAAATTTGTAGAATGGTTTCTTTTTAATTGTGAATTTTACATAGTTATATAAATGAGTGTTTTTGATCAAAGTAAGAAATATCGATTCCTTATCATTTCACCTTTCATTTAGGCGAAATTATAAGCAATCGATATTTACTTACTCTAATTCTTTTCTAAATTATGTATGTTTGGTCAAAA